GGGTGACGTCACCTGGAAGCGTCTCACAGCTGTGTCTTACAAGATCAAGAAGATCTTGTAAGAGTTGCTTAGTTCGGATTTAATGCAAAGAGGTTCTAAATGTTGTTAAACGTTTATTCAGCATCAATCAAGATAGTTATTTTTTCCTTTCCTTCCTTTCTCTTTGGTCTGTTAACACATTGGTTTGAATTGGTTCCCTTCTGATGTTAAACTGGGGTAACTACTTAGTCGTCGGCTATTAGTAGCCTTGTTGCATACTTCTGGATAGTATTTGCTGATAATAGCAACACTGGCAAATTAATAATAGTAACTCTACCACTTATTACATGACCTTTTTACTCTTATATCCTTCATGACTCTAAAGCCAGTACCTCATGGACGATACTACCAGGTTAGGCTGCCTGCTGATGAAGCCTAGCCTCCAAGAATTACATTTGCAGCAGCATTTGTAAAATTCCCTAGGCCTTTTCCTTTCAAGTTGGAAGCTTAGCAGGGTGGGGTCCTGCCCTGAGGGCACCCTTCTTTTGTTCCAGTGTGGATCAGGCATCTCCCGTCTCCTCAACTCTTTCCGCACAAGCCCTGTCTTCAACACTAAGCTTCCTAGTGTTCCTTTTCTCTTCAAACTGTACATTTTGTATTTTTTTAAGCCCCACTTATTCATTGTAGACCTGTATAAGAGTGATCACTAATAAATGTGTGACAGAGTCAATATTAGGCTGTTCCTAAAAATCTCCTCTGTGATTTAGTCCATTATTTTTGTTTATTTTCCGGCAAGTTCTTCGGATAAGGACAGAAAGTAGCCAAATGTTTTACCAAAATATCACAATGAGCTAGGCCTCCACAGTCCACATTGTCCTAAGTACTGATGTCTTTCAAGCTTCTACAAGGACAGCCCATTAAATGTTGCTTGCAGCATCCAAACCCCTTTCTAGTCCAAAAAGTTCCAAAGCCTTCCACACTCCTCCAAAAACAAACATGGTCAGGTCTGTCACAGCAATAGCCTACTCCCTGGTACTAACTTCTGTGTCAAGTACTTTTCTATCACTGAAATAAAACACAAAAAAACAAGACAATTTATTGAAGTTTTTATCTAGGGCTTACAGAGGGATGACATTTCATTACCATCACAGTGGGGCAGTGTGGGTGAGGCAGCAAGCATCAGGCATGGCAGCAGGGACAGTTGAGAGCTCACATCTCAAACCATAACAGGAAACAAAAACAGAGAATTGGGGATTGTGGAAAACTTTCAAAACCTCAAAGACTTCCTCCAGTGACGCACTTGCTCTAACACCTAAGCCTTGTAAGCTTCCCCAAACAGCATCACCAACTGGGAATTGGGTATTCAAGTGTCCGACTATGGGGGATATTTCATTCAAACCATCACAGGATGTATTAAAATTAAAATTTTCCACATTAATAGGAATATATAGTATCACAAGGTGCTATCAAACAATTCTGTGCCTTCTAAGATTGGGAAGAAAAGTAGCACTTTACAATATGTATTTAGAAATATACCCTTTCTAATGTTCTTTTCTTCCTAAAGATCCTACTTTCCATCAAGTGTAATTTCTCTCCTTCCTGAAGAAATTGCTTAAGCATTTCTTCACCATGTTTCTGCTGGTAATAGAGTACCTCAATTTTATTTTAAGTTGTCTTGAAAGATATTTTTACTAGATGTAGGCTTCTAAGTTAACATTTTCTTTTTCTCTAAAACTTTTTGTGTAGAAGAGGGGAAGCAGGGTAAGTGGGGGATCGAACCTATGGCCTTGCACATGCTACACAAGTGCTCTACCACTGAGCTTTATTGCCAGTCCCCAAACTTATAAATATCTTCTGGTCTCCATGATGTTTGTTTTGTTTGCTTTCCTGAGATAAGGTCTTGCATTCCAGGCTGGCCTCAAACTTACTATGTAGCAGACAATGACCTTGTACTCCTGATCTTCCTGACTTGGCCGCCCTCATTCTGGGATAACAGGTGTGTGTGTGTGGTTATGGTTTCTGATGAGTGATAGTTCAATGTTCACCCCCCCACCATGAATGTCTTCTTCTCCTCTAGCTTCTCTTAAGACTTTTCTATTAACAGATGGGTTTTCTGACTCTTGAGTCTGACATGGTTTGTCTTCCTTTCCTTTACATTCATTCTTCTTGGAGTTCACTGGGATTCTTGTAACTCTAAATGTATGTATTTGCTAAGTGTAGGAATTTGCTTCCTTCTCTCTTTCTTTCATCCTCCTCTCTTCGCCTCCATCCCTTCCTCACTACCTCCTTCCTTCTCTTCTTTCTTTCATCAATTTTGTTAATCATGTCAAAGAACCAGTTCTCAGCTTTGTTGATTTTTATTGTTTTTCTTCTCTATTTTGTTTAGTTTTTCTCTGTAGATGTCATGGTCTTATTAAATAAGAAACATAGAGCCAAATGCAGAGTTAAAAACCCAAGAGGTCAGAGCAGTAGCTGAGAGCTGAGACTTAAAACTTCTTGCCCTTCGCTGCTGCTGTCGTCCTTCCCCTGAAAAAGAGACCTACATTCTGTGTCTCTTGTCTTTTTATTGACTTTCTGTTCTGCCTTCTCATTGGCTGTAAACCCAACCACATGACCTCCTTGTCACTGCCCATCTATACAGACCTCCAGGTCTTCTATGGTTGGTATTGAGATTAAAGGCGTGTGTCTCCATGCTGGTGGTGTCCTTGAACACTCAGAGATCTGCCTGTCATTTGATCAGGATTAAGGGCATGTGCTACCACTGCCAGACTTCTGCTATGGCTTGCTATTAGCTCTGACCCCCAGGTAACTTTATTTATTAACATACAAATAAAATCACATTTTAGCACAAATAAAATATCACCATATTGCTCTAATATGTATTACTATTTTTTTCTGCTAGCTTTGGTTTTCCTTTGTTTTTCGCTCTTTAGGGTGAGGTATAAATAGCTGAGTTCAACCTTCTCAGAACCTTAGGTTGAGTTTCTCCAAACCTGTGTTTTCATATAAATTTTCCTAGTGTACCCTGAAGATTTGTGTGGGGTTTGTGCTCCAGCCCCTCAGCCCCCCTGAGTCTCTCCTGTTCTTGGTCCCAATAGCTGAGTAGCCATGAATTTCATTTTCAGGTTCCTCCGGTCAGAAACACCAAAGCTTTCTGTTGGAATAAGGGAGAAACATGCTTAGTGCCAGTGGATTGTGCTGTTTCTCTCCCTTCTCCCATCCATTGTCCAGAGCTGTTGACTGCTCCCCACTTCTGCTTTCCATAGCCAGTCTGCAGAAAGGGATAGATTAGGAGGTGCTCACTGGACAACGCTAGATACAGAAACTTGTATCTCTTAAAAGTAGTATCTAGTGAATGGATAATTCAACTGTGGCACATACACATAAAGGAATATTATTCAGCTTTAAAGGAAAAGGAAATAATGGAATTGAAGATAAATGGATGAAAACAGAAAATATAATATTGAGTGAGGTAATCCAGAAAGAAAAATACCACATGACTCTTCTCTTATCTGTGTTTCTTACATTCAAATCTTCAGATGTGAGTATATAGCCTGGAGTAACCACAGAACTCAGGAAAGTAAAAAGAGACCAAGGGGTGTGTGTGTGTGTGTGTGTGTGTGTGTGTGTGTGTGTGTGTGTGTTTGGGGGACAGTGTCTAAGAAGAGGAATAGGAAGATAGAGATGATATAAAAGGAAAAAAGGGAAAAATGAAGGGATTTTAGTTGGGGAGGGAAGGGGGAGGAAAACGTAAAAAAAGAGGGGGTACAGGAATAAGTAACACTAAAGATGCTTGAAAATACATAGGAAATCATTATTTTAAATTTGCCTCAAATTACATATAATACACATAAATGTATGTACATACAAATTCCCCCCCCACACACACACACACTAAAATTATACTACTTGGGCTGATAATACTACCTCCAAGAGCCACAGACTTATTTAATAAAACTGTGTACCAGGCATGAGAAACTTCTTCTTGAGTTGCTGGTTGGGGGAGTCAGACCTCCCCTCCCCATATAGGCTATTGCCATTGCCCCTGGTTGCCTCCTAGAAATTGAAGTTAAGTCCCTATTGCTGAAGACACCATGCACTTTGGATGCAGGACTTAGACGATTTGAGTTGGAACTGACCTGAAAACCTCCTACCTAGGGACTAGCTTTCATAATACCAGGTGATATGCAAATTGCTAAGAGAGGAAAGCAATCAATATTCCTATCCAGTTGTGATGTTTATGATCCATAACAATGACCATCACGACAAGATATCCTAAAGATGCAATAGTGGCATTTATATCATGGTGGTAATCAACAGCTGTCTAATTGGACCCAAGGCCTACTCAACAGGAGGGAAATCAAGCCCGGTACAGTAAGCCTAGACAACTCCCTGTGCTTAGTGAGGCCATGGATCTTAGAGAACCTACCACAGCCACCTTTCTAAACCAGCATAATTCCTAATCGCATTTTAAATACTTATCCTTATACCCACAGGGAAGTGTAGACCTCAGTCCTCACCAAAGAAGCTTCTTTTTGCAGCAGATGGAGACCATTATAGAAAGCCACAACTAGTCAAAATGAAGGCTAGGAGGTGCCTGTCCCAGTTGTTCCCTTTCCACCCCGGTTCTTGCCCTTAGGGTTCGTTGACCTTCTTGGAGGGGGGGGCGGCGGGCCTTAGGGTTCGGAGGCCCGGGGGTTTTTGCTTTTTGGTTCTTTTCCCCTTTTGAATTTTCAGCACCTTGGTTTTCCAACCAGGGCTTGAGCATTTCCACCTTTGTTTGTTTTTTCACCTTGGTTGGGGGATTTTTCCCGGGTCCCCTTTCTTGGTTGAACGGTGGCAGGCACTTCTTGTTTCGGGGAGAGAATTAGTCTTCCCCAGGGATGGGCCCCTCGAGTGGTTATCCAACACCAGCTGGTTGGCCCTAGAAATCTAAACATGCAGGCCACATTGGATGTTCTTATTAAGCAGGTTGTATTCATATGTTTGTTTGTGTGTATATGTAACAACAACATGGTTAAAGAAGAGGCCATGGGTTTGGGAGGGGGTGGACATGGGAGAGGAGGTAGGAGTGGGCAGAGGGAAGAGGGGAACATTGTAATTGTATTTTAAGTGAATAAAAAGAAAGAGCTTGAAGTGCAGCTCAGTATTAGACCACAGTGTTAGAACATATGTGCAACGCCATGAGTGGAGCCAAAGCCCCAACCTCATAATGGTACACACACACACACACACACACACACACACACACACTAAAGCTTTCTCTTAAAGCTTCTCAGTAGATGTCTGAGTGTGTATCACAGACAGAGGTGCACACAGGCCAGGCTTGTGTGGTCCCAGAGGGAAAATGGACTACGTTGACTGTGCTACCTCTGGCCCCCACGGCAGAGGCAGTCATTTCTGGAGCAACCGCATAGAACTCCATGCACGGGGCCAGCAAGGAAGAAGCAGAGTGTGGCCAACAAAGAGACTCTCCCACTTGCCTGCTGTGGGGCTTATTATGACTTAATAGTGCTTGCTAGCTATTGCTGGGACCAGTCAGCCTGCGCGCTTCCTGTGGAGGACGGATGAATACTCACCGTGATGGCAACAGCTGTGAGGAGGGCATCAGGCTGGGGAAGCATCGGGAACTTGGACGATGATTGCGAGTCCACGCAGTCTCAAGTCTCTGGCTTGACTGGCAGCTGTTTGATTTTGCAGCAGTGCAAAGGTGACACACACTCAGTAGAAAGCACACATGGAATCTGGGGGGTTGCTCTTTCCTTGGGCTGGTCATGAACTGTGGGATGGTCTTTTCTCACCACAGTGAGCGCCAGCTGGTGCCACAGCTTCCAGTCAGCCTTGGATGACAGGGCAACCAATGGCCACTCTCTAGTGTGTATGGTTTTTGTTTTTATTCTTGTTTTTTGAGACAGAGTTTCTCTGTGTAGCTTTTTGGTGCCTGTCCTGGATCTCACTCTGTAAACCAGGCTGGCCTTGAACTCACAGAGATCCACCTGGGTCTGCCTCCCGAGTGCTGGGATTAAAGGTGTGCTGCTGCCCAGCTGTTAAGCTGTGATATTCAGCAGGTTATGGATAGTCCAAGTCTTCTTGCACATATGTATTAAAGTATGATGTGTGTGTGTGTGTGGACACATGTGTGTCAATATAGAGGTCAGAGGTTTGTATGGGGTGTCTTCATTGATCAGTCTTCACCTTACTTACTGGGGCAGGGTCTCTTGCTGAATCTAGAACTTAACAAATTAGGCTAGTTTAGGTAGCCATTTTTTTCTGCGATCTTCTGTCTCCACCTCCTGAGAACTGGGGTCACAAGGAGAGCTACCACACAGAGTTCAGCTTTTATGTATGTGCTTGGGGTCTGAACTCTGGTCCTCAAGCTTTGGTGGTAAGCTGTCTGTCCATTGAGCCATCTCCCCAGCTCTGATTTAACAATATTTTAAATTCTTAAATAAAAATAAAAACCATTTAGTTATTACGTAATTCCTTCCAAAGTGGGTGAATCAGTCCACTGGAGGCAAACACATGTTTCCTAGGAACACCCCATGAAATATTCATTAATATTATCCTGAGCCAATTATTGAAAGAATTAAAATTATCTCGAGAACATTCTCTGGCCATCAGTAATGGATTGACAAAAGAAAATTCCCCAAATGTAGGACTCGGACAACACATTTCCAAATAATCCGTATGTCAAAAATGAAGTCTCAAAGGATATTTTCTAATATAAGGAATTGGTTGAAATAAAAAAAAAAAAACAGTGTAGCAGAATTTGCAGGGCGTGGCCAGTGCCAAAAAGGAACCTGATAGCACTGAATGCTTAATGAGAAAACCCCTCAAATAAAAAATAAAATCGAAATCTCTCGTTCACAAAACCACAGGAACACAGCAGAATGCACCCAAAATGAGTGGAAGGAAGGGCATAAGAAGACAACAAAACTGGATGAAACGAGAAATGGAGTGTGGGAGCAAAATGAAAGAAATAAAATGACGTGTCTCCAAAAACCGAAATTGTTACTAGAATAGAACAGAAAAGGCATATAAAGGTGAGTATACAGGAAGACGCTCTCTTTGGAAGCTGCGGAGTTGGTGAGGTGAGGTTAGCTCGTGGTTGGTCCTGTTCCTCTGATCTTTCTCTCGGGCTTTAACCCAAATTTCTGGCTTCATGTCTTTTTTTTTTTTAATTTATTAAGACCATTTAGAAATTCATCTATAGAGAGACACAAAGAAAGAGGACAAATCAGCAGTCTAAGGACAAAGTGAGGGGCATCATTACAGAACCTACAGCCAGCCACACTTTAGGTAATGTGGAAAACCATGAGAATGTTGGGCCAGTGTCTGTGTCCTGCCCCATCTCATCCATTGACAAGGAAATTATTGTCTGGTGTCAACATCTGAATTAGCTGACATTGAACTGTGGGAACCTCATACTTTCCTCATGTTAAAGCAGCCAACCCATGCTCCTGCCCACTGCAACAAGACCCAGTTTACCCCTTGTTTTATTTTCATTTTGTAATTTGTTATAGTGTATAAAACAACATTTTACTGTTGTTCTTTACAACAGCACAGATCAGTGGCATAATGAGAGGGTTGTGTAGCCACCACTATTGTCCACCTCCAGAACCTTTCTTCTTTCCAGCTGAAAATATGCACACCTTCAGTGCTAACTCCATTTCCTCTTCTGTTCCCGGAAAACCATCATCCACTGCCTGTCTCTGTGAGGTTGAACCCCTCTAGGCACCTCCCAGAAGTAGTATCATATAGAATTCATTTGTTATTTTTATCTTTGCCCGTGTGTTGATGGGTGAGTGTGTGTGCTTGTTTGTATGTGTGAACGCAGACATGTGTACTCTGTGGCATATGTGTGAAGGTCAGGGAACAGTCTCAGTGTTGGTCCTCACCTTCCTCTTTGCTCTTCATTATTGTATGAGCCAAGCCAGCTGGCCTGTGAGTTTCTGGGCAGTCTCCTGTCTCTACCTCCCGCCTCCCCTTAGGAATGCTGTGATAACAAATAGATGTTACTACATCTAGATTTGTGTGGGTTCTGGAGATGTGAACTTAGGTCCTCCTGTCTACACAGCAAATGCTTTACCCACTGAGCCATCGGTGACAGAAAACTTCCAACACGACTTTTACTAAACATCAAGAGTTGGAGCCTAAGGACTATATGTGACATTGTGGCCTAGGAAGATGGCTAACAAGTGCAAAAGCAGAAAGTGAGTTCACAGGTCAGAAGTGGGAGATGGGCTGGGAAGGTGGAATGGTGCCGGCTAGTTTCCCTGAGCTGATGATGGATGGAGCGACAGGCCTGCTTTCCTGAGAGCAAGAGAAGGACGACAGACTCTGGATTTAGACACAGACATCCAGTGATGAACCCAGACAATTGGCCCAGGTTATAACCAGACTCAGGGGCTGTGGTGGTTTGAATAAAAATGGACCCCATAGGCCCACAGGGAGAGGCACCGTTAGGAGGTGTGGCCTTGTTGGAGGAAGTGTGTCACTGGGGGCGGGATTGGGGGTTTCAGATGCTCAAGCCAAGCCCAGTGTCATTTCTCTTCTGTGAAGGAGTGTCACCAGCCCACACTGACAAGCAAGCAGGCACAGCTGGTCTGGTAAAGATGGTAAAGATGGCGGCTGCTTTGACTACTTGGCAAGTGTTGTTACTGCCGTGGCCACTCTGGTAAAGACAGCAATGGAGGGAAGATCCAGTGGTCTGGGGATGGGTGCTGGCATCAACAGCCAGCCCTGGCAGGCAGCTCCCTAATGACAGAATGGAAGCTGGTGTGGCTCTCCTGTCTTTCACCTCTGGAGGGCGGGGTCTCCTGGGGCCTGGAGTCCTTAAAGCTCACCAGAGGAAAGAGAAGCCAGTCCCCCTGGGAGGAGACAAGGTGGGGAAGGCGGGTACCGAGAGTGAGGTGAATGAGCCTGGTGCTAGGACCCAGCCCGATCACCCAGATGCTGGACACATTGTCCCCGTGTGACTCATTGAACCTACAGAGCTCCAGTACCAACAGTTACTTTTCTCCCAACTCAAATGGCATCTCTTCCTTTCTGATTTACTTCTGTGTTTATTCTTGTAGTGCTCTGAATAAATGTTCCACTTCTGAGCTACATTTCCAGGCCATTTACATTCATCTGTCGTTAAAGATTTGTTTTATTTTTATTCATGTGTTTGTGCGTGCGTGTATGTGTGTGTGGTGTGTGTGTGTGTGTGTGTGTGTGTGTGTGTGTGTGTGTGGTCTCTGTGTTTGTGTGTGTGTTGTCTGTGTGTCTGTCTGTCTGTGTCTCTGTGTGTGGTGTATGTGTGGTGTATGTGTGGTGTATGTGTGTGTGTATGGGTGCTTGTGGAAGCCAGGAAAGGGTGTTGGATCCCCCGAAGTTACAGGTGGTTGTGAGCCACAGAACATGGGTGTTGGGAACTGAACTCAGGTCCTCTGGTAGAGCCACAAGCTGAACCGTCTCCCTAGTCTGTTTTGTTTTCTTTTTCTTTTTTTTAACTGCTTCCTGGAGGTACGGCTGGCATGCAAGGAGCTATGACTACTGAGAATATGAAATGTCACACTTCTAACATGGGAAGACTCTCATAAAATGGACACCCCAGCCAAGGCAGGCAGGAGGGAACTTGTTAGCTAGCCTTAGTTTCCCTGAGCTCTCCCGGCCCCATTCCCATCCCAGTTTGTGCTTCCTGCTTTTATCTGTGTAGTTTTAAAAGAAAAACACATTATATTCCACTAAGTATAAACAGAAATTGTCCAGAAATGTAAAGTGATAGGATGGACCTCTGATAGAAGAAGAGAGACTGGGGGATGGCCACTCACCTGAGCTCCAGGGGGCCGGCCTTCCCCATTCCCTGGAAGCAGGTGTACCCGACAAAAATCAACCTACTAGAATGGGGAAGGGATATTTTGGGTCAGTTTCCAGGTTTGAGGCCACATTCATTTGGCTCTATGGTTTGGGGCTGTCGTGGTGTAGTCCATCACGGTGGAAGCTGACTGAGGAAGCCACTCCCCCATGGGGGCTGGGAAGCACCTTCATAACAGGAGGAACTGGAGTCCCAAATCCCCTTCAAGTGACCAGGCCCTACCTCTTAGAGGCTGCACCACCTTTCTTTACATCAATACCCCAGCCTGGGACAGCCTTTGGTCCATCAGCTTTTAGGGACATTTCAGATCCTGCCTGTTGTTGCAACAGGAGAATGCCATGCAGGGTTTCTGGGAGCCAGATCTGCCACCTACCTGCCCAGGAAGAACTAAGACACAGGTGTGCTGGGTGCTGAGGGGATGGCCGTGGAGCTCGCTGATGAATTTTCCCTTTAGCGTCGCAACTGAGGCTGCAGGACTAGGCTTTGACTGCGAGCTAGCCCTCGACAGGATCTGGGTTATCTTTCTAAGCTTGCCTGCCCCACCCCCACTCCCCACCAAGTGCTGAATATCTTGTTTCCTCACTACAGTTTCCCGATCAGCGAGGTCAAGTTAGTGACTTTCAACCCTCTGGAAGGAGGCACATGTGCCAGCCTGGGGTCCTGAACCTTTGGTGGCTTCTATGTGCGTCTGCTACTGCTTCCTGACTCTGGTGTTATCTCTGCCTCCCAACAGTTACCTTGTTTCGTTTTAATGTATCTAATTTCATTTCGCGTGCAGCGAATTTCTACTGAGCAAGCATTAGTATCATTGTGGGTTCTGGTCTGGGGCAGGAGCTACAGAGATGGTTGGGGCCACTTCCTCTTCAGAGGAGACTGTCTGGTAATGAGTGTCACCACTGAAGTACATTCCTAGCCCCTGTGCATGTGAAGGGCAGGCTCATCACTTTGTTAGGGCCGAAAGAAGGCTGTAGGGGCATCGGGCAGTTGGTGCTGAGCCAAAACATGATGATGGAGACCCACAGGTAGTCTTTCCGGGGAAAGGAACAGGGCCACAGAGGCATGGTGCATTCTGGGAACTGCGGGTGGTTCATCTATAGGGCTGGGCTAGGGCATCCAGGGATGCTGGGCTGAGAGGGAAAAAATGACCAAGAAGCAAAAGGCTCCTCCCCTCCTTGTCCTTTGAGGCCTCCCAAGGCCACACCCCTGGGCCTCTAGAGGGGGATCTGTCAAACCTGCATGAGGGTCTTCAGGGCCTAGAGTGGAGAATGATCTCAGAGACTGTCTACTTGAGGCCCTAGCTGGGGATGGACCCCTCCTTCCATTGAATTGATTTTTGTGTACTCCCCTTTCCTCCTCCATGAAATAGTCCAGGTCCCCCCTTCTCATGTGTTTGGGGGACCCCTGGGGTTTTCCCGGTGTTGGAGGGGAAGAATGAGCTGCCAAAGGTTGCCTGGAATCGGAACTTTAGCACGCTGGGGCCAGGAGGGAAGGAATGAGCGCGGACGAGCTTCCTTTGGACAGCTGTGCCTACACCCTATTAAAAAAGTGTCAGATTCAATCACCCAGGTTTGGGGGCCGTGGACGCCAAACATCTGGATCTCTGGCCAGGCCCCCAAGACGCCAGGATGTTGCACTTCCCACCTGGAAAGCTGCCGTCATCCGAGCAATGCTGTCTTGGAGAGGGCAAGCACCTGCTCAGGCTGCTTGCTGACTTCCTCCCAGGGCCTCAGGCCTGCTCCCCGAGTACTAATGGACAGATGGGCTCCCGGCACCCCAGGGTGGGGAGGGGGAAGAGGCAGGACTGTCCAGCTCTGTCTGGGTCTGCCTCTGGGTTCTGGGCTCTAGGCCAGTTCACACTCACAACCAAACCCTGGTGACTGATGGCCACTCCCCAAGCACGGGGGTGATGGGGGGTGATGGGGGGTGATGGGGGGTGATGAAGGGTGGGGTGGGTTGGGAGCAGCTCAGCAGCATCCTTGCCTTTCTCTTGGATCTTTCTAACAGTGGAAGTGATAGACAAACATCGCCCTCGACCTTGAGAAGTGAGAGCAAAACTCCTTAGCCTTTGTTACAGAAGAAGAAATCCCATTATACCTATTGACTCTTTTGGCCAAGGCTACACAAGCCAATACAGCCAAGAGTCTGAATTCCCAGAGGTAGTAATTTGTGGGCATGTGTGTACATGAGTATGTACACATATGTATGTACGTGTGTGTATGCACATGTGTACAAGTGTACACATCTGTGTATGTGTGTACATACATGTATGTCTATGTGTGTAATGGTGTGTGTGTGTGTGTGTGTGTAGGGTTGCTGCTTTCAGAGGCAGTGAAACAATGCCAACCTCCCCAAATCCTGCTTGGTAATAAAGTGACATTAAGTAGGACTCCCTACGTCCTCATTGTGCTAACAACCACCCACCCCTCCCCGTCCAGTTGGGAGAGGATCTGGCTGGTGGAGGAAGATATCTTCAGAGTAAGACGTCTAGTTCACCAGCTGGTGAAGCACAGGGACACCTTGTGACCCGGCAATTCCACTTTTTAGAATGTATCCAAGAAACACAAGAACATGTGGGCACACCAAAACTTCCACAAGCGTGCCCTCGGCAGCATTCTTCTCGGCTGGCAAGATGACAGGTAAGAGGCACGATCACCACCGGATGGAATATTATTCAGCCAGTAAAGGGAGTGATGTGTGCCGCCACGTGGATGAACTTGAAAGCATGTGATGAGAACAAGAAGCCGAGCATGATGGGATAAATATTGTACTCTTCCATTTACGTAAAAAGTCCCAAACAAGTAAAGCCATGGAGACTGAAAGTGAACTCCTCAGGGTCTGGGGAGACGGCGTGGTCAGGAAGCTGGGCAAGCATGAGGGCTTGAACTGATCCCCAGCATCCAGGTGAAAAGCCATAAAAGGTCAGGTGTGGCGGGATGGGCTGTAATCCCAGCACCCGGAAGTTGGAGATGGACAGTACCTTGGGGCTTGCTTGCCAAACTGTCTGTCTTAATCTTCAAGTCCCAGTTCAGGGAGACCCTGTCTCAAAATACTAAGAGGGTGCAGGGCACGTAACCATATAGTGCGCCATTGCTGTTAAAGATGTTTTCTTTATACACACGTCCACCCCCCACCCTCCCTCCTCCCCTCTCTCCCTCTGTCCGTCCCTCCTTCCTGGATTATCTAAGCATTGAAATCGCCATTTTCCCCCACTCAGTTCCTTGGTGCTGCTGGCCAAGGGAGAAGCAGAGTCTGGGATGGCTTAGGCCGCAGATGACCAGGGGACACTCAAAGGACAGAACAGCACTGTCCTCAAATAAGAAACGAGTCTCAATGGTTCCCCACATGAATCAAACAAAATGCCATCTTGTTCCATCATAGATTGACAACAAAACGCTACACCCCCACTCACGTCTGAAATGAGCGCAGCTCACGTCTGACACAGTTCCTGCTAATCCTCCCTCCAGCCCCTGCCAGCGTTTTAGGCCAGGACGCCTGCTCAGAATCTACTGCCTCTTCTCCAGAGCCAGCCTATCCACCTCTTCTGTGTGGAAGGTGTTTTGCGTCTCTAGAAGCCAGATCGGGATTAAGGCAGAAGAAGCTTTGCCTCTTCCTCCGCTTCCCTCCAAGGGAGGAAACTACTGTGACCTCTAGAGCTGGGTGCAGGAGTTGTGTGTTTCTTAAATTACACTGACCGAAGGGCCTCATGGGAAAGAAGCAATTCTCCAAATGGGGTTTTTATATGCCTTGTGTGGCCAAGCAGGAGCCTGAGGAGAGGAAGTATGCAGAGAAGGTTGCTTCTTGGAGACCAGGCAGTTTCAAGTTAAAAAAAAAAAAAAAAAGAAAAGAAAGAAAGAAAGCAACTTCCATTAGCTTGAAGGGGGGGGGGGGTCACCAGCTGTGTAGTTGAGTCATGTGAACTCAAATGTAAGCTGCATATTTCAGGCAATGGACATCTTTGGGCTTCGGAGTTTTGTTATTATTTAATTTCAAATCTGGCCCGAGGGCAGGCTGGAGCGTTCCCTGACTGGGCTGTATCTTAGCATTGGATTTTGATGTCTGTAAATAAGGAGGTGATTGGAGATATTTTGACCTAAGTCTGAGGCAGAGTGAGGGGTTCAAAGCAGAACTGGAGGACAAGGAAAAACGGGTCTTCTGCTGCTGGAGATGGGGAGAAAAGACCAGACACAAGTCTCGGCCACTCGCTTTTTTCAAAGTGGCCTTCGCCAGGCTGAGGTTGGTTTTGAACCCTAAACAGGTCCTACTGTCCAGCTTCAGGACAGACCTCCATATCCACAGGTTCCACACCAACTTAGGGTGGAAAATGGTTTGAAAAAGAAAATTGCCTCCGTCCTGAGTATTTTCTCAGCCCTGCCTCCCGAACATGACACTGTAGTATTTCCACAGCATTTACTTTGTTAGGTGTTCCAAGCCATTGTTCCTAGGGGGTTTGAAGTCTGTAGGAGCACCCGGCATGATCTCCACAGATACTGGGTCATTTTATATAAGGGACTTGGGTGAGCATCTACAGTTCTTTATATCTGTGTGTGGGGTGTGTGTGTGTGCTGGAACCAGGCTTCCACAGAGAGATGTCTTTTTAAACATTTAGGGAACACAATGGCTCAGGAAGAAGCTGTTCTACCCTTTCTATTCAATGGACCGTGGCAGATCATGTATTGAACCCTGGTCATACATGGGGAAGGAGAGTCCCACAGTTCCTGCACACGTGGAACTTGGAAGCAGCCTTGTGCTGGTAAGTGCCTGAGAGCCAGCACTCTGGGGTGGGGGTGGGGCATAGGTAGGGCAGGTGGGAGGCTGTGTGAGGAAAGTCCTGGCTCATAGCACTTGTTTTAGACACTCTCGTCAACTTGACATCATTGAACAGAGTTGAGAAGACATATGTAGTATGGCACTCATTATGTGATATTTTCATCATAGGCACAACATAATGATTGTAGGTAAACGTAAACCTAATAGTAAAATTAATTAGGAAGTAATGGGTTTGATGAGGCTTGAGGGTTACCATTGTTCTTAATATAATTTATCTCACTGTAAGCTTGTGATTCATTTTTTTTCCATAAAAGCATTGGACAAGCTTTCCATGCACTTTCTGTTCGCTTTTAACTGTCTCTATGACCTGCAATCCCCTGGTGTCAGCCTGCCAAGTACTAGGGTTCCAGACATAGGCCACTAGGCCTGGTTCATGCATTTATCATTTAAGACAGTCTTGGGAAGCTGGTCAAATTAGGAAAAAAAGAAACGTTAAAAGGAAAACTAATTATTTTTTTAAATTCTTTTTGAAATAATATACATTAACTTGAAGGAAGCTAACCATGGGTTTCCAAGTACCTTATTTAAGGGGATGCATTAAAAACTCGCAGTTAAGCTCAAGCTGGTGTGTGGTGGGGTATGCATGTGACACCCATGTTTGGAAAGTAAGTGGAGACCAGAAGATCACAAGTAGGAGGCCAGGCTGGCAAGTTGCAGGCCACACACAGCAGGTGCTAGGGTAGTGAGTTCTGTCACAACCAACCAACCAAAATCATGTTAAGAATTAAATGTTGCCGGGCGGTGGTGGTGGTGGTGGTGGCGGCGGCGGCGGCGGCGCAGGCCTTTCACCCCAGCATTTGGGAGGCAGAGGCAGGTGGATCTCTGTGAGTTCAAGGTCAGTTTGACAAAGTGAGTTCCCAGGACAGTCACAACTGTTACACAGAGAAATCCTGTTTTGAAAAAACAAACAAACAAACAAACAAACAAACAAAAAAGAATTAAATGTTACATGTTGGGATCATAAGAAACTCTATATACTGATGTCCGAGGGGAGTGTCGGGGTGGGAGAGAGGGAGAGACAGGCGAGGCCAGGAGGAGATAGACTTGAGTTGCTGAATTAAGGCTATCTTAAAGTCACTGTCTCCCCCCTGAGGGTTTTTGACTCTGTGTTTATGAATGTAAAAACTATTAGTCAAAACTGTTTAGGGGTTGGCTATTTGGAGAAGAAGGTACTTTCTAGAGTTGATTTTTATCACAGTAACTTCATTCGGTGATTGTTTCCCCATAAAGCAGTGTTGGAACAAGGTCTCCTTTTCCAACCGTACTGGGATTTTCCTACATCCTCCTGCCAGCCGCCCCAGACCGGTAGAATCCGGCCACCCATCTCATTAGGACTCTCTCCCTTTTCCTCCCCAAACACTGGCTATTCATATACAGCTGTTTTCCTCTCAGATATCCTGGTCAGCTCCCATCCCAGGTTAAAAATCCCGAGGAAGCTTCTTATTGGTTTAGCCTTTGATTAGAGGTATCTGATTTGTCTAGTCTTTGACTGGAGGCCTTCTGACTGGTCTATCCAGTGTTCTGTTTCCACTAGAGAACCAATCACCCTTGGCCAACCAACTGGGAGAGGAGCATTGACTTCCTCCCTCAACCACAAAAGTTTGGGCTGAATCCATAGTAGGCTGATGGGAATATGATAAACCTGCAGAGTTCAGCGTGGGGCTGCCCCTCTAGACAGATGAAAAAATAACTGTCTATTATTATTGCCTTAGCTGCTTTTCTCAAATTCCAAATTAGAGCTGTTCAATCAAAGGAAACTTCTCCTGGACTCCACACA